TGTTTGGTGAGTTTAATTTTTTTCTGGGCATAAAGGACAGACTAATTTTCCAATCCAAAACAAAATGGAAACTAAAACAGAACAACAACAACAACAACAACAAAAAACGTAGAGCGAGGCTCAAACATTGTAGCCTGCTTCTATAATTTGGAGTTGTTTTGGTCACTAAATGCTGGTGTAAGCTCCATGAAGCAGGGTCTGCATCTGTCTGGCTTAGGGTTGGGTCTCCAGATCCCAGCATAATGACTAATCATGTCTGCAGAATGAATGACTGAATCAGGACGTTGATGGTTTGCTGTCACCTATTCATTATGTGATCTTGGATAAATTTCCTTTTGTGTCAAGTTCTCTCTCCCTGCATCCTGGAACATTTTAGCCCACTCCTGAGAATTGCACAGAGGAATGTTATTCCTGAGACAATGCCTGACACTGGATGTGTCTCGGGGCACCTATGGCAGTGTGCTCTGTAAGCCGGAACTCTTTCTTTTTTCCTTCAAATTGGGTGTACACTGGTTACCTGACAGCTGAGCTCACTTTTGTGTGCTTCAGTAAGTGAAGATGGTAATGCTGACAGCCTGCATTCTCACCTCTGTCAAGTGAGGCAGAGGGGCAAGCTCATCTTTGAGGAAGGCCTTTTGTACTCTATGATTTCATTCTATTCTACTTTCTGGAACTGGTCTCAGAATAAAAAGTGAGAAAGATTGTACTGTACTGTGAACATAATCACAGTGATACTGCGTTTCTTTAAATGTTTCACAGGCCTCTCTATTTCCTCTTTCTTAACTCTCTTACATGGTTTAAGCTTTCATTTTACATGATGACCTCATGGAATTTTATCCAAAGTAATTTTGAATAAAATCACATGACACCAAACATAGTTCTCATTTAAATAGTTACTTTAGAAGTCTGGACAAGAAGACTTTTTCACAGGAAAAAAGTTTAATGACTAATTAAAAAATGCTTCGAAACTTTAAAAAAAGAATATCCTAAGGTTTGAAATCCTAGGCTCAGATTCCAAAGTTTGGATATTTGATGAACCACCTTTGCTTCAACTAATTGAAAAAGAAGACCAGGAACATTAATAATATCTTAAAAAGGAACACAAAAGAAAACATATAAACCTATTGATAGACTGTCTTTGATTCCTTCAACAGCATTTCATTAATATCTAGTGTGGGCCAGAAACTGTGTTAGGTGTTTGGGATCAAAGACCTCAACTTCCCAAGTTCTTGTGTATATACAAAAGCAGCACTGGATCTCATGACATGGATTTCAGTCTTCACCCCTGCTACTAACCAGCTGAATGGCCTTGGGCAAATCACTTTCAATTTTGGGGGTTCATCTATAAAACAGAGTGGTGGGTCTCTTCCAGCTCTAATGATATATGGTTTTATCCCAGATGAAATGATATAACTAAAGGAAAGAGCTTAGGTAAAATCAAGCCATTCTAGAAGTCATGTGGTTTTCTTTCTTGAAATTCATTTGTTAATGAATACAACAAATACATTAAATTTTCTCAAAAAGAATCATATTATAAATCTATTGATTGATTGTTTTTCTCATTCCTCATTCCTTTAGTTAACATTGACATAATGCCTCCTCTAAGCCAGAAACCATTTTGAGAATGTGAGATGGGAGATGAAATATATATTCTATGTCTTGAAAGGGTTCACAATCTAGTAATGGAGATAGAAAAGAAAACATGAATTTAGGTGTTAAGTGCTATTAATAATAGACACATATTTACTGAACACTTATTATGCTTGGGATACATAAGTGAACAAAATTGATACTGATTTCTGTTGCTATGGAGCTTGTATTCTAGTGTGAGGATCCAAGAACAAAGGATAAACAAGAAAGTAATAAATGACGTGATATGACAGAGGGTGAAGAAATCGTGGGGTAAGAAAAATGTAGAGTGGGTTAAAGGGAAATGGGTTAAAGTGGGTTAAAGGGAAATGGGGGCATCTGTGGTGGAGTGAGAGTGTTCTAGGTGGAGGAACTATCACATATGGAGAATACAAAGGCAAAAATAAAGGCATGGCATATTTTGGGAACTGCAAGAAGTCTTAATGGAAGGAAGGGTGAATATGAGCTGTATGTCAGGAGATGAGTCTAGGGAGGTGGGCAGTGGTTAGACCCTGGCAAGGAGAGCTTACTCTTTAGATGAATCTTTAAGAATTCTGAAGAATCATTTTGCAAAAGAAATGTTCAAATTGGATTAGTTTCAAACAAGACCCATGTTGGCCAGTGGTAGAATTGAATGCACTGAAACACCAGGGAGTATTTTAGTCTATTTAAAAATTCTCAGGAGGCCCAGCTCTTTTATTCTGCATGGACTAGAGCTATTAGGGAATTGGCTACAACTATCCCTTGTCAGGAGTAAGAGCATCACATACAAGCAAATGGCTGGAAGAGGACTTTTTCGACCCAATTGAGCAGATTGTTTAGTGCCTGCTAAGTGTTTACTATTGTGCATAGTCCATTGCCTAAATATTCAGTTTAGAACAGCAGAGATACTATTTCAGGAAAAAATGTAAAACAAGCCTGCTTTTCAATAGCTAACAACGAAAAAGAAAATATCCCATAGTATGTCTCAATCTTAAGGCAGTAACATGGCATACATACTTATAATCTTTTATCTTTTTCCAAGTTTAAAATATGCATATATTTAGTCATATACAGGTTACTATACTGCATTCTATAACCTGCATTCTATTCCACACACACACACACACACACACACACACACACACACACACACTCCTCCTAGCAAAGTGCTAGATTCTTACAGTCTTTTCTTTGGTTTATTTCTCTAATGTACTATTTAGCTAATTTAGCATTTTGATATCCTTCCATAGTAATGTGTTTTCTTGTCCAATTCTCACTGCTAAGAATATTTACCTTGTGGCTGGTCTAAATTCCCTCTCTTTTATGTAGTTTAAATTTGTTTTTCACCCTCCTACTCTCTTCAGAGATGGAGAATGACTAGTAATGTCTGACAAACTGAGAATGCTAAAATAGCACTCTGTGGTCAGGTCTGCACAGCCAAACTGAATGGTAGGCTTGAAGCTAGTAATTGAACAAGACAGACAAAAAGAAGATACTTTTGTTTTATTTATCCAAATAATAGCCTTATTTCTTTACTTTTCTTTGCCTTTTCAGACCCAAGCAAGTCACTAGAATGAAGGTTACATAAAACACCTTGCAAGGGTTGTCTGAATTTTAAGAGTTCTCTTTCTTTCAGCTGTTGTTGAGTGAATATATTTGTATATTTGCATACTAAGGGGTAAGGAATGAACTAGTACAACAAAGTTAATTAATATATGTGGTGAATAAAGATAAATAATACCCTCAAGGGTAGTCTGAAGGGGGAGTACGTGCTGAAGTAGCTTATTCATCTTTAAGAATTAAGTGCATTGTAGATGCTATTTATGATGCCTGAGAGTTTATTCATTTTTAGACTAACAGTATTCTTCTTTACTGACTCTAGGGCCCATTCTTATTTTCTGGAGATGTCACTAGGAGCGGATCCTGTAGATAAATGCTAATTTACTACCTTTTTATTTTTTTATTATTTCTTTATTTTTATTTTTTATTATTTCTATATGAAATACACCTATGGGAATACAGGGAACAAACCAAGTTTAATCTTTGTCACTTTTAACAGTTATTCAATGGTAAACAGTGGTATCCATTAGATAAAGAGGAAGGAATCCTGACATAATTGATTTCTACTACTTTGGCCCCCTTTGGGGAGAACAAAGAAAATAAGATATGCAAAGATGAAGGCTGGTAATTTTCATGCTTGTTTTCAAGGCTGCACTAGGGATGATAATTCTGGAATACAAGCCAATGGTCATGGGGTTTTCTCTCAATACTACCTGTGATTTCACAGACCACTTGACTTCTGAGTGACTACCTATAAGGGTGGTGTGAGAACTTCCATTTACACCAATGATAATATGATTTGAGCATATAAACTTTCAGGTCTTTGATAATAAATCAGTTGAAACAGATTAGAATAATGCCCTAGTGGCATGGGAGATTATTAGCAATTTAGGCAAATGAAAGCATTTTATCATTGTAATGTTTTTGGCATCAGAATCTTTTGTGCCCAAGAATATTACTTAGCATTTTATGATTTGGGAGTAAGCTGTAGTATGCAGAATCAGTACTTTAATGAGCAGATATCACATGTACCTTAGTAGAGAATGTAGGCCTAAATATTTTGTGCTTTTTATTTTAGTAATATATTAAATACAACACTATATTTAGAGATATATAGGCCATACTTAGAACTAAATGAAGAGGCAGCAAAAACTACTTTTGAATGCACCTTTGCATGTTCACTACTATATCAGAATGATTTCCATCAGTCTTCAGTCCCCTTATACTCAAGCTCACAGAAAAAGAGTTTCATTTCATAACATAATTTGAGAAAATGCCCAACTTTTAATACCCATATAGAAATGTTTCTACACAGCAGACGAAATAAACTTGAATGCCTAGAAATTACCCTGGTCTGGGTATCTTTTCTGTTTTTGTCCCTAATTAGGCTCTGGGAAAACAGTGACTTTTTTTTTCTCTCCCCCACTGTGAAAGTTATGAGATTCTTTTGCTCAAATCACCCTCAAAAAACGGCTTGGAAGTTCATGTTCCTTAGAGAGTTGCCGATTCTGCTAAAGAAGATTAAATGCCCACATCACATGTGTCATATCCTGCAGCTAACAAGAAAGACAGCAAATGTAGCATGGCCCTCATCGAGGGAGCAAGTGGGCTGTCAGCCCAGCCTAGGGTGCCTTTCATTGTCACGTTGTGCACCAGCCAAGATATGCATTCAAAAATGAGTGAGAACATCAACAACAAGCCATTACTTTGCATCCTGGAATATTTTTAACAGTTTTATCCCAGCCATGGGTTTGGGGGCAGAGGTGTTTGTTCCCTGTTTGATTTCACCTGTCTGCACCATAGAAGATGATTAAAGCCTCTCTGCTTACCTGTGAAGTTGATTTTTAGCAAGTAATCCTTGTACAACTTCTTCCCATCCAGGATCTTCATAGCATCACAAAGCTTGGTGGTGTTGGGGCAGAGGGTGCGCTGCATTTTGTGCAGGGCGTGGGCCATGGCGTACACCGCGTTCACCACGAACATGATCTTGGATTCTTGCTCGTAGTTGCTGCTGTCGATGGCTAGGTGCTTCTCGCAAACGCGCCTGTGGTTCCGTTTGTTCTGGAGGCTGCACTGGAACTTTTGCTCCCAGAAGTCCCGGAACCAGGGGTTGCGGTGGTTGTTGTAGGGGTTGAGGCTCTGGAAGTAGCGGTCGAAGGGGCGGACGGGCTGCGAGGCCAGCTCCAGGGTGATGGCGCCGTACGCCACGTGCTCGCTGCCCTTGACGATGCTCTCCTGCGCGCCCCAGCCGTCGCTGGCCACCCAGGTGAAGGACGCGTTGGCGCGGCTGGCGGCGGCGATGAGCTCGCGCGAGTCGTCGCTGCGCATGAAGAGGACCACGACGCGCGCGTTGGGCTTCTGCAGCAGCTCCCGGATCACGCTGTCGTAGGACTTGCGGATGTTGGAGCGGCCCACCTTCTCGGCCGTGGCGATGCAGATGTTGCGCAGGCGGGCTTCCTGCTCGAAGGCCTCGATGCCCGTCTCCCCGTAGTCGCCCTCGGAGGCCACGGTGGACACGTAGGTCCAGTTGAAGAAGCGCAGGATCTCGGCCATGGCTTTGGCCTGGTAGAAGTCGGGGGGCACGGTCCTGGCAAAGTAGTCGTAGCGCGACTTGTCGCTGAGTTTGGCGCTGGTGGACGCGTAGCTGATCTGAGGGATCTGGAAGAGCCGCAGCAGGTTCGCCACCTGGGGGAGGGAGAAAGGGGAAGTAGCTGTTTTAGAAACCCAGAGGTAAACGCATGGCTATGAAGAACGAATCAGACCAACCGAGCTCCCTTTCCACCTCTAGATCACTGCGTAGCTCTTGAGATGAATGGCAGGCTCTTCCCTGGGTGCTGTATTTTGGGTATTAGGGAGCTGGTCCAAAGCAGGTAGTGTGTGCTTTGGAAAAGGGAATAGCAGAGCAATGAGAAGGGCCCCAGTCTCTTCTGTACTCTGTGCTAGGCCCCAGAGTACGTTAAATACTGGTCAGGTTCCCTCAATGTGGTGGTTAAAAGTTCCTGGGGTCCTGCTATAGCTCAAACAATGAACTACAGTGAATTGGCCGAATTCGGTTTTTAGACAACTTGGCTGCAGTTGTATAGAAAGAGCCTGGGTGTTGTCTAATTCTCACTTCCCCCTCTTTTGCTAAAAACAGCAGTCTTTGAAAGAGTTTAATTTGGGAACTGTATGCCACATGGACAGTCCAAATTAGACATTTATCATCTAGGTTAAGAAAAAAAATAATCAATTCTGAAATTCTATTTCATCCACCCCAAATTTAAAGCATACACTTTTCTAAATTCTTAAAAATCTTGACCAAAATTTTCTTTTCTTTCTTTTAAAACTTTGTTTTTGCTTGGACTTTGTGAAGAGAAATCATACAAATATGCTAGTCTTATGGCATTTTGATTGAAAATCAAATAAACTATGGAGGACCTTGTCAAGAAAAACCACCTACTTCAAAATATTTAAAGCTTATTCTGAATCAAAATTTTAAATTTTTTATAATTCAGCTATCCATATTCCATTGCTTTATTTATTGTAGAATAAAAGAGGAAAGTGAGAATTTATCAAGAAGCTTTTTATGTATAACAGTATTTGCAGAAATTATATTTAAAAACATCTAAACAGATTATTTATCTAACAATAAGCTGGTTTTTATTTTTTCTGACTACCTCTCATGTTCTGAAAACTTCTTTCTCTATACTGACTTTAGTTAAATTATGTAATATGCTAAGTGGACTTTAATCAGAAACAACATTGAATATTCTAATATACTCTATGTACATTGGAATAAATATTAGTATTTAAAATTTTCCTTTTGGAAATTGTGGTTTCACATTTATATTTGACATGTAGGAAGCACAGCTTGAAATAGGCAGCTGTTAGCAAAGAGCACAAGCAACATAAAACAACTGACATCTGAGTCCTGATTAATCATCATTTTATCTGGCAAAGGAACCAACAGCCAAGTTCATACACAGCTACACAGCATGTTCTTGGAGGTCTGGCCTGCTATTAAAACCAACACTTGATATAGCCCAGAACTATCAGAAATATTTTCTATATCTTTTCAAATCCTAGTACCTCTCATTTAATCACAAATAGAATGGCTGGAAATCTTGAACTCAACATGCAATATAATGCAAATTAAAATACCCCAAATCTTTCTTGTATTTAGTAATCTAGGATATGGGTGAATTTGGGGGAATGGAGGTGAGTGGGTGGATGAATGGGTGGGTGAAGGCTAGTATATAATTTATTTCTTCTTTTCTCAGGATCAGGGGACTCTGGACAAAATGGCCTATACTGACTCATCTGACCATAGGATTATACTGCTTGTTTACTCAGCCTGATTGAAATGGCAGGTGGCACTGAGGAGGTACTGTCAGTACTTCTAGAACGAGTACTTGGCTTCCATTGGATTTCTATACCACTGTGGCAGGCTTGGTAATAACAGCCTTGTCTGTGCATGGGCTTGACTTGATAATGAAGTTTCTGGGAGCCACTATAGAGGCCATCTCTTCTTGATGCAATGGTTTTCTCATCTTCAAGTTATATTCTTAAGGACCTGAACCCCTCAGGGAGACAGAGAATGAAAGGAACTTAAAAAATACCCAGACATTATTTCCTGGCGAATAGGAACCAAAGTGAAAAGATCCTAAACTGCTGAAACTTTCTTCTCCCAGAGGGGTAGGAGTAATGAGAAGCTGCTCAAGAAAAAAAAGTTCTTGTCTTTTAACTAATAGGATCCTGTGACTTCATGTCTACCTCTCCAGGATGTTTGAAAACAATTTACAATCAAGGCAGGCTGGACAGGAGAATGAACTAGCCACAGAATAACGGCAATATGGGAAAGATTCTCTGCACTGGGAAGGAACATGAGCTGTAGCCTTTTTGGGAAGGTGGTGGGCTAGAATAAAACAGCAATTATTGCCATCATTTTAAGGAAAATTATATATACCTCTGTCATATGTGTTTAATAAGGAAACCCCAAGCAACTCTAGATAAAGGAGACACATTTGGCGAGTTGAAACATGAGAATGAACACTAATAAGTAAGTATTACATAATCTCAATTGTATCATCTGTATTGTATAGCATGGAGCAATAACATAGTTCAAAGTTATGCTATTCAGAGTTACATTAAAACACATATAATATAAATGAATAATAGAGAAAAATGTTGAAGTGCTTTTATTATAGTGAGCTGTTCCTTTTAAAATTGATTTCCTTAGATTATAAGGGTAAAAATGCTTAACTTAAAAGTGAGCACCACAGGAAGCAATAGATATAAATTTTTTCTTTCCCCTCCCTTACCCATTCTAACTTTATTTCTAGAGAATAGCATTCATAGTTTGGCTTATGGATTTTAGAAATGTGTTTGTTCTGTTGTAAATCCAGTTACCACCTTACTGGGTGTTTACATATATATATATATATATATATATATATATATACACACACATATATATATATGTATGTATTTCTCCTTTGATATTCAAGACAGTCTTATACAGTGGGTATTATTATCTCTATTTTAAAGATGCAAAACACTGAGTTCTGCTAGGCAGAGAAACTTGTTCCTAGTCGTACGGTTAGAATGTGGGGGCGGAATCAATATGTAAAACCAGATCTCTGGACTTTATGTACTGTGGCTGTCCAATCACAGCTTTCTTTCTACCCTCTACTGTGTGACTGTGAGCCTGAGGCCTCAAGCACAGGAAGGTATCCAGGTAGAAAGAACAGGAGAGAGGAACAGAAGCAACATTATGTACTATAGATTGCCTAGTTGCTGTTAGGAGGACCTTTTTTCTTAACATAAATCTAAAACCAGGATTGAGCAATATCCAGGTAGTGTCAGCTGGGTTTCTGCTGACCCAGCTAACATTTGTCTAAAAGCTGGACATCTGAAACATTCCTGACTTGCTTTACTGGCCATATGGTTTCTCTGAGAAAGTTTGAAGAAATAAGGGGAACTCCTACACTGGACATCATTTTGAATGGTAAAAAAAAAATGTTTTAGAATGGGGAAGTAATGTAAAATTTTGGAAGAAAGTTACCCAATTATGTTATTATTAGTAGGAGTGGAGGAAGGAAAAAAAGGATCCAGTTATATATACTTTAGAAAAAAATCATTTTAAAAGTAGAGATATGCTCAAATAGATACAGATTCTAAAAAGGAATATGGCTTAAGAGAGACAGAAGGACTTAAAAAATAATTCATGCAATGCACAAGACAGAGAAGACAAGAACTCCAGAGAAGCCACTGAGTTGCTGGGCTGCACTGGGGGATTTGGGTGTCATAAGAACTGGTGACACAGGGTGGGTGCTGTTGGTGTGTGGGGGCTTTCCCCCCACACAATAGGAAGGATCAGTATGAGTCTGTAGGAATGAGGGACACTAACGCACAATGTGGAAATCGAGCAAAATGATTTTTGTTGTTGTTATTGTTTTTTGTTTTATTTGAAATAATGTTTCAGGAGATGTGGCAGGAAGCACTATAACCATTGGAAGGAAAAGTTGGTTCTATATGAGTAAAAGAAAGACACTTGCTCAGTCCCTCTTGTTTTCTCATTTTTCCCATGGAGAATGTTTTCTAACATTGAAATGCTAGTACAAATTACATGAAAAGGTTATGCCACATAAAAGAAGGAGAGACTATATATTTAAAAAAAGCCTGTAATCATACGAATTGAGTTTGCCCCCCATAATGAATTCTGGAAGGAATTGAAGATTAAATTATGAAATCAGTATCAACACTTTTTGAAAAATCAATAATGGGAGGACTCAGAGGGTGAAAAGGGAGGAGGAAGGGCAAATTGAGGGAATATAAATCAAGAATAAATATAAATTAATAAGCATGATGTGCTTGGTAATTTTCTAGAACATAGTTTTCTAATAGAGAGCACAGGAACACTTAGAAATGAACCAGGCAATTACTAGGAATCAGCATGGGCTCAACAAAAGTGAATTTCACCAGGAAGGTGTCTTTTCAACTTTAGCTGAACTATATATAGGGAAGAGTTGTAGTATGGAGAATCATTACTTCAGCAAGGTGTTGGTGCCCTTACATGGACTCTCTGGAGAAATGGAAAGTGATAGCAGTTGGATAACAAAGTTAAATATATTCAAAGAGAGAAGCTTGGATGAAAGTCTATATATAGTTGCCAAGTTTATCAATATTATTGGAAAAAATATAAATAAGCTGCAAGATCATTACATTGTAGAGCTGGAAGGAATCATGAAGATGATTTAAACCTTTTGTTTCATAGGAAATGGAAGCTTATAGGGTGAAGTGACTTTCCAAAGTTTACACCACACATAGGCAGAAAAGCTAAGGTTAGAGCCTAGCCTCTTGATCTTCCCAAAGGACCGGGCTCCCTGTCTGGAAACAAGGTGATATACAGGGAGAGACGTAAGTTGCTGGATTTAAGTTAAAATTATGCAAGTGGAAAAGAAGAAGTAAACTAGGAAAAATGAAGTATGAATGCAAATTTGAATATTGCAGTTCAGCACGCTCCAGAAATCTGGGGGTGGCTAAAGTCAAAGAAGGATTATTATGTCTTTTGTTCTCTTTAGATTTCAGTTCAGAAGTCCTTAAAAATGAACAGAGAAGATCAATTTTAGTTTTCACATTCTCTAAGTTACTGCTCTCAGACTACCTTTTTGGGGGAGGCCTTTTAAAGATCTCTAATATTTTTA